TATTAATTAAAAAATGTGACCACAAATTAAAAAATTAAAATGGATAAATTTGTAAATAAAATTAAAAAATTTTAATCCGCTAACGATTTGGTACAAAAAACGACATAAACTAATTTTTTCATTCTGCTAGCGATTTAGACTCTAACCGCTATCCGTTAGTCTCAAATCGCTAAATAAAAATTTTACCAAACATTTTATTTATAACAATTTCGAAATATATAAATTTACCAAACACTTGTATTTAACGGTTTAGGTAAAACCACTAACTGCTATCCCAAAACCACTATACCAAACGGGATTTTAAAAACATTATAATTTAATTAGTAAAAAAACTCCATTTTTTTATATTTTTCTCAAATCAAATATACTATACAAGTTAATTTAAAAAATATTTTTTTTGTATTACCAATATAATATATTATATAAATCTTATTTAAATTACTAGCCATTAATTTTTAAACTCAATTGTTAAAAATGATAGTATAATGTACTTGCTTGTATTTTACGTTAAAAAAAAAAAAAGGGAAAAAAAAAGGCAGACACTTTTCAATTTGAAAAGAAGAACTTGAACTGTAATGGACTTATCCTCGACTAACATATCTATGTAGGTGGTTTGTTTTATGTTTTCAAATAAAAATATCTATCCTCTTAATTGGCAGTGGTGCTGCCCTCGCGCTGAAAATGTTCGATTTCGTGATGAACTCGAGTAGTTAATAATTTGTAGCATATTAGGTAGTTGGGATTCTGCCATTGAACAAAAAAAAGGTAGTTGGGATTCTGTTTAGATTGAGAGAGAAGCCGATAGTTTCTCTCGCGATTTTTAGTTAATAATATACGTAAGAAATGAATGAGAAAACTTCAGAAAATAAAAAGTTAACATCTAGAAAAGAAAAAAGTCATATTTTGGGCTTCAAAACACGTAATGCACGGTGGTATTTTTAGATTATTAAAAAAAAAAAATTCTAATCTATTGATATTCTTAAGTGAAAGAATCTGGCATTCAAAAAATAAGAAAAAAATATTTTGTTTAAATATTTAGTCTTTGGATTGGTTTACATTGAATGCTCATCTTATATTTAACCTCATATGTTAAATTTTTATATGCTACTAGGTAACCTCATTTTTATCAAACCTGATATTATTAACTTGCTTGACAAGTTCTAAAGATTATATCAAGCCTGCATGTACATGTACCATACCCTGAAATATAATTAAGTTTACCTGACAAGTAATTCAAAATTACACGCATAAGAATAGGCCCTACCTTGTGGTTTCCATAAAATCAAAACACAAAGAAGCTCTACTTAACATTTT